GAAAAATGTAAGGGGCAGTAGAAGAAATACATACTCCTAAACATCCCAGCAATACACATGTTGATGTCAAATCTTCGGGACAGACCATAAATGACCAGTTATTAGCAGATTAGCCTTAAAGTGTGACTCCATTCAATTTGTAAAAAATAGTTTTAGATAGAGTGAGAAGCTGCTTAGCATACTTCTCTTTCTAGGTCTCAGGCCACTTCTCAAGGAACCCACCTAGCCACCTTCCAAGTAAGCCGCCTGATGTCTTGCTTTGCTAAGAGGCAGGTGGCTTCTCAAGCGGAGCCGCCCAGGGTCCTGCATTGCAAGGACACAGGTGACTATTGCTGCCTAGCGCCCTTGGTGTTTAGGTTGCAGGTGACTTGTCAAAAGAGCCACCTAGCGTCTTTCCTTGGTAGGACACAGGGGACTATTCCAGCCTAGCGCCCTTGATGGCTAGGTCACAGGTGACTTCCCAAGAGAGGCACCTAGCGGTCTTCATTGGTAAGACACAGGAGACTATTATCGCCTAGTGCCCTTGGTGGCTAGGTCGCAGGTGACTTCTTAAGGGAGCCACCTAGCATCCTTCATTGGCAGAACACAGGACTATTGACACCTAGCACCCTTGGTGGCTAGGTCGTAGGTGACTTCCCAAGGGAGCCACCTAGTGTCCTTCATTGCTAGGACACAGGAGACTATTGTTACCTAGCGCCGTTGGTGGCTAGGTCGTAGGTGACTTCTCCAGAGAGCCACCTAGTGCCCTTCATTGATAGCGCACAGTGAAATATTGCCGCCTAGCACCCTTGGTGGCTAGGTCGCAGGTGACTTCTCAAAAGAGCCACCTAGCGTCCTTCATTGATAGGATACAGGGGACTATTCCAGCCTAGTGCCCTTGATGGCTAGGTCGCAGGTGACTTCTCAAGAGAGGCACCTAGCGTCCTTAATTGGGAAAACACAGGAGACTATTACCACCTAGCACCCTTGGTGGCTAGGTCGCAGGTGACTTCTTTAGGGAGCCACCTAGCATCCTTCATTGGTTGGACACAGGGGACTATTGACACCTAGCACACTTGGTGGCTAGATCGTAGGTGACTTCCCAAAGGAGCCACCTAGTGTCCTTCATTGGTAGGACACAAGAGACTATTGCTGCCCTTGGTGGCTAAGTTGTAGGTGACTTCTCCAGAGAACCACCGAGCGCCCTTCATTGGTAGGGCACAGGGGACTATTGCTGCCTAGCGCCCTTGGTGACTAGGTTGCAGGTGACTATTCAAGAAAGCTGCCTAGTGTCTTTCAGTAGTAAGGAATGGCTGGTTCAAAGTAAAAATCCCTTGGCATGTAAAAAAGTTATCATGTATGTATTCTAACTGTATATGTATAGGCTGTTTGCGTGGAGTACAACTTTAACTATAAGGTCTGGTCTTACCAAATACGCTTTCTAGCTTGTAGACGTTAGATGGAAGTATGTTTATGGATTTGGGGTACATATTACATGAACATTTGTAAACTGAAAACCTTTCCCTGTTTTGTGGCTCTGGGCTCACATGATGCATCATTCTCAAAAGACTGAATTATAAATAATATGTCAGTACACAACAATTAGAAAGTGGGTTATTGCTGGATCAAGGAGGTCAACCCCACCCAAAATTGGTATTTCACCTAATAGTAGTTGCTGGCAAGTTTAATTACATGCTGGTTTATGACATCTCTCAGGGATTCTTGTGGGGAGGTATCCTCACCAGATAGGGTTACCACCTCATCCCTTGAACACCGAACACATATTAATGACACGGTTTTGAGGCTAATTTAACGCAGAGGCCCTAAGTGATTTTAATTACCACCTTAATCATCCACAGAACCTGTGTAATATGTGTTCTGTGTTAAAGGGATGAGGAGGCAACCCTATCACCAGAACCCCCCCCAATATGACCTAGTTGAAGCCATTACAAAGTCAACGGAGGGTATAACTTATGGAATCTCCATAATATGGACCCAACAAAAAAAACTGGCCATTCAGTTGTGAGATAATATCTTCATATCTTCTTGGCCATTTGGGATGGGGTAGAGATATGAGCTACCACAGAAGAATCTCTGAAGGGCACATTCCATGTGGCGTATGGATTTGTTAGTGGTTCTACGAACCTGCATGCCCACAACTGAAATCATTTTTTGGTTGGAGTTGACCTTTGATGACTTGTATTGGTTACGTAGTTTAAAAAAAAAAAAATTAAAAGAAAGACGCAGACTTATTTTTAATCACCTTTCTCCCCCTCAACAGGGCTCTAGATGTGAATCAATCCCATGATGCAACATGTGTCCCCAGCACCAGCTCTATCAATGATGGCCACCCAGAGTGTGCCTCCACCCCCTTACCAAGAGAGCCCGCAGGTGAGTGCAGACAAGGCCTGGGAGCAGAACGTGCTCACTGGAAACCCCCTTTAAGCTGACTACGTTACAGTCTGATTGTGTACCTACCAACAGCTATGTAATGGCAGATTGGCTATTGGTGACATGGATTGTTTAGGTAGACCCTCATATTACGTATCTTTGGTGGATCTAAAGAAGATTGTACAATCATATGGTAATATGCCCAGCCAGCCTTACCCACTCTACCACCAGCTCTGTATGAAAAAGAACCGAAGAGCCAGGGGCGGACTGACAACTCATGGGGCCCCCGGGGCAATAGGGGATCATGGGGCCCCCGGGCAATAGGGGATCATGGGGCCCCTGTGTCCTTGCCCAAATTCAAAAAAGCCTTTGAAAAAGGTACCAGGGGCATCTCATGGGGCCCCCTTCCGGCCCCCAGGCCCTCAGGCAGTGCCCAAGTTTCCAAATGGTCAGTATGCCCCTGGTAAGAGCCCATCCTCTCTTGTTACCCCCGCTACCAATGAGAAAAGATAGTACCCTTTCTTACTCCAGCTAACTGACACAGAACAAGCAAGATATTTTTCTCTTCCTATCACACACATTAAAGTGATTGTAAACCCTTCCATATACCCAGGGAAGTGACTGGCCTCGGGTGATACACAGAGATGAAACAAATCCTCCCACATAAGTTGTACCTGTTTATCTGCAGCCATCTCTTCTCTACATTGGTTCATAGTGCTGAATTTATATAGCTTGTCTAAGTGTTCAGAAAAAAGGGGGGACGGAGAGCTGAAATTACACTCTGCAGAGCTCAGTGAGGAAAGCTCTGAGAACTGATTGGAGGAAATAGACACATGCCCCTCCATACAGCACACAGGCACAGAGTTGAGGCTGCAATGGAAAAACAGAATGGGTGGCTGCACAAACAGCAATGTGGTGGATGAAATCCTTTACATGCAATATGATAAGAACATGACAGCTCCAAAACAGGACAGAGGAGCAGTAGACGCGTTTCACACGCCAGAGCTGAGGCTGTCAATCTGCTGGAGGTCCCTCCCCTGTCACCATTTTTCTCTTGGTGTCAGAAAAACTTGTCAGAAGTGATTCATGCTGATAGCAGAAGAAGGAGGCAGCAGACAGAAATGACACTTAGTGCTCTGGATTGAGACAAGTACACAGTATAGAGGGATGTGCTTTGTTCAGATTTCATGAGGTTTACAACCACTTTAAGGCCCACAAAAAAATAATGCATGCTTTTTACTACTGTGCAATATTTTGCTTTTTTTTTTTTTTTTTGCAACATTCCAAAATAGATTTTTTTCATTTACTAAAACTTTTACTGCATGAACCAGTTTATATTTACTATTATTATTATTATTATACATTATTTATATAGCACCAATAGTTTGCTCAGCGCTGTACATTATAGTGGGAGACAGTACGTGAGACAATACAGTAACAATACAATGTGATATACGAGAGGTTCGAGGGCCCTGCTCCTTGGAGCTTACAATCTAGGAGGGAGGGGAGAGTGGTACAGGAGGAGATAGCTGTGGGGGATGGAGTGGTGGGAAGAGTGGAGGAGATCAGCAATTAGGTGAGGGCTGGGTAGGCTTCTCTGAAGAGATGTGTTTTCAGGGTGCGCCTAAAGGTGAGGAGGGTAGGTGACAGTCTGATTGATTGGGGTAGCGAGTTCCAGAGGATGGGGGAAGCCCTGGAGAAGTCCTGGAGACGGGCATGGGAGGAGACCAGGGAACTGGAGAGTAGGAGGTCTTGTGAGGAGCGGAGAGTGCGTGTTGGGTGGTAGATGGGTATCAGGTCGGTGATGTAGTTTAGGAACAGTATTATGAACAGCTTTGTGCGTCAATGTAAATATTTTGAATTTTATGTATTGGGCAATTGGAAGCCAGTGGAGGGATTGGCAGAGGGGGGAGGTGGATACGGAGCAGTGGTTGGTGAGGTGGATGAGTCTGGCCGCAGAATTCAGGATAGACTGAAGTGGGGATAGCCTGTGTTGGGGTAGGCCGGCGAGGAGGGAGTTGCAGTAGTAGTACTACATGCATGTTATCGTATTCTTTTTCTTAAGTATTCTGACTGTAAAAGCTCATTTACATAGGTTATTGTAGGGGTTGACATTTACACATGTGGCTGGGGAATGGTAAAAATAGTCGGTTGAGTTGCAAATGACCAACCCTGACCTCCCGCCTTAACCCAACATGGCGGCCAGCGAGGGCGGTGCACATGCTGCTTTAAAATGAATGCTGCAGGTCGGGTTCAAGTGAATGGGGTCGCTTTGCAACCACTGTGAAACCAGTTGTAATGCACAGGATTGTGCTTTGGCTTTGAAACGGTAAACCAGGCAGCAATGAGGCGACACGTTCCAGCCACCTGTCAAATGTCCTCTGAAAAGCATTCCACTGCCAATCACTTTTCCGGTGGAGCAGCAATGACAGTCACAAATGTAACCAAGCCGCTGTTTGCGGCCTCAGCTGTCAATCACCAGGTCCCGGACGGTGATTACTCTCCGGCACCCAGTGATCGCAGAGCATTACCGATAGAGGGAGAGAACTGTAAGTAAACAATACAGTTCTCTCCTCTGTCAGCTCCACTACACTGCTTTGTATGGCTCTGCTATGCCATGCACTGCTTACAGTGTAAAGTGCAAACGCAGCACACAGTTAACCCTTTGATCGCCCCACATGTTAACCCCTTCCTGCCCAGTGCCATTAGTACAGTGTCAGTGCTTTTTATTAGCAATGATCAGTGTATTGGTGTCACTGGGGATGACAATGACACCAAGTCAGTTCCCCCCCCCCAGTGTCAGAATGCCCGCCGCAGTCCAGCTATAAGTCGCTGATCGCCGCCATTACTAGTAAATATTAAAAAAAAAAATCACAGTATATATTTTTAAACGCTATAACTTTCACGTCAACCAATTAATTTACACGTATTGGGATTTTTTTTTTTTCTAGCAAAGATATGGAGCAGAATACATTTTGACCTAAATTTATGACGAAACTTGATTTTCTAAATTTTTTTACTGGACATGTTTAATCGCAAAATGTCAAAAATATTGTTTGTTTTTTGTGGGTGCTGAATGAATGACTATTTATTGTATCCTTTCAGATCATAGTTATTTAATGCCAGTAATCAACAGAGCTGTCAAATATTTTAATTTCTTACAAATGGATGACTATGAGCCTTTTTAAAATTATACCCTACAAATTCTGTGAATGATCCCACGTCTGCTGGCCCAGCATCAGGGGCGGACTGACAACTCATGGGGCCCCCCGGCAATAGGGGATCATGGGGCCCCTGTGTCCTTGCCCAAACTCAAAAAAGCCTATGAAAAAGGTACCAGGGGCATCTCATGGGGCCCCCTACTGACCCCGGGCCCTCGGGCAGCGCCCGAGTTTCCAAATAGTCAGTCCACCCCTGGCCAGCACCTAACACATCATGTGCAGGAACATTGTCATGGTGGAGAATCCACTTGTCAGACCGGAGTTCTGGTCTTTTCCCATCACCTTTTCATTTTCCACATTTGCATTTGTCCTTTGCGTTTTTGGCTTCCCACTTTTTGCATCATCGTGGACTTTAAAAAAAATGTAATTTCTTCATAGAATGTTTTCATAAGCCTGTTGGGACAGAGCTTTCACTCACACTATTGGCAATTTTCATGCAAAATTTGATGTTAATCCACTTCTCCAGGTACCTGTCACTCATATTCCACCAACAGCACAACGCACACACGTGTTATTTCTTCTTCTACTCCATAAAGACTGAGTCACCTGGTCTGAGACCCAGGAGAGTGCAAGTTAGAACACGTCAGAACATGCTTGTGTGTGAATGGCTGTGTGATTCACCACCATAGGGCTATGGGAACTCAATTGTCACACCTCATATATTAGGACAAGTACAAAAGACTCACAATAGCAATATCCAAAAACCAAAAGCATATTGTTTGTAGGGTTAATTCAGAGATCTGGATCCAGAGGAAGGGGAGGATTCTTTTGATTCTTAGCATACAGGTTAAGCATAGGTAAGAGCACTTTAGCGTGTTTAGAAACTTGTATGTCTCCAATAATAACTAATAGGCAGGTATGGGATGGGAAATGTTGGGAAGTCCAAGGACAGATGAGATGGAAGTATTGACCTTTAGCCAGAAGTCTTGAATATAGGTCCAAAAATAGAGAAAAAAATCAGTCATTTCACCACACTACCAAAAACATGCTAAGGAGGTGCACTGACCCATTTATTAAGGTTTAGCAGGTGTATAGTGGGCAAGATGGAACAACTTCAGTTGTATCACATTTGTATTCACTTATCCCTTGAGGAAATCACTGCGCCTTTGTATCTGTCTTCAAATTCTGACCACCATCTATTTTATCATTAATAATACTTCTCATGCATGCAAATGTCTCACACCATATATTAGCCCTTGAAGCATTAGAACATTCGCTAGGTAATAAGTGTCCAAATCTTGCCGCCTTCATCTCCATAATATTTCCCAAATTTTCCCCATTTTTTCAAACAACAGCACAATTCACTTCCTAGATACCTTTTGCCTCAACTATTGCAAATCCCTTCTTGTTGGCCTACTCAGGCTATCGTCTCTCTTTAGTCCATCATGAATGCAAATCCCTTCTTGTTGGCCTACTCAGGTTATCCTCTCTCTTTAGTCCATCATGAATGCAAATCATTTCTTGTTGGCCTACTCAGGCTATCCTCTCTCTTTAGTCCATCATGAATGCAAATCCTTCTTGTTGGGCCTACTCAGGCTATCCTCTCTCTTTAGTCCATCATGAATGCAAATCCCTTCTTGTTGACCTACTCAGGCTATCCTCTCTCTTTAGTCCATCATGAATGCAAATCCCTTCTTGTTGGCCTACTCAGGCATCCTCTCTCTTTAGTCCATCATGAATGCAAATCCCTTCTTGTTGGCCTACTCAGGTTATCCTCTCTCTTTAGTCCATCATGAATGCAAATCCCTTCTTGTTGGCCTACTCAGGCTATCCTCTCTCTTTAGTCCATCATGAATGCAAATACCTTCTTGTTGACCTCTACTCAGGCTATCCTCTCTCTTTAGTCCATCATGAATGCAAATCCCTTCTTGTTGGCCTACTCAGGTTATCCTCTCTCTTTAGTCCATCATGAATGCAAATCATTTCTTGTTGGCCTACTCAGGCTATCCTCTCTCTTTAGTCCATCATGAATGCAAATCCCTTCTTGTTGGCCTACTCAGGCTATCCTCTCTCTTTAGTCCATCATGAATGCAAATCCCTTCTTGTTGACCTACTCAGGCTATCCTCTCTCTTTAGTCCATCATGAATGCAAATCCCTTCTTGTTGGCCTACTCAGGCTATCCTCTCTCTTTAGTCCATCATGAATGCAAATCCCTTCTTGTTGGACCTACTCAGGCTATCCTCTCTCTTTAGTCCATCATGAATGCAAATCCCTTCTTGTTGGCCTACTCAGGCTATCCTCTCTCTTTAGTCCATCATGAATGCAAATCCCTTCTTGTTGACCTACTCAGGCTATCCTCTCTCTTTAGTCCATCATGAATGCAAATCCCTTCTTGTTGGCCTACTCAGGCTATCCTCTCTCTTTAGTCCATCATGAATGCAAATCCCTTCTTGTTGACCTACTCAGGCTATCCTCTCTCTTTAGTCCATCATGAATGCAAATCCCTTCTTGTTGGCCTACGCAGGCTATCTCTCTCTTTAGTCCATCATGAATGCAAATCCCTTCTTGTTGGACTACTCAGGTTATCCTCTCTCTTTAGTCCATCATGAATGCAAATCCCTTCTTGTTGGCCTACTCAGGCTCTCCTCTCTCTTTAGTCCATCATGAATGCAAATACCTTCTTGTTGGCCTACTCAGGCTCTCCTCTCTCTTTAGTCCATCATGAATGCAAATCCCTTCTTGTTGGCCTACTCAGGCTCTCCTCTCTCTTTAGTCCATCATGAATGCAAATACCTTCTTGTTGGCCTACTCAGGCTCTCCTCTCTCTTTAGTCCATCATGAATGCAAATACCTTCTTGTTGACCTCTTCAGGCTACCGTCTCTCTTTAGTCCATCATGAATGCAAATCCCTTCTTGTTGGCCTACTCAGGCTAGCCTCTCTCTTTAGTCCATCATGAATGCAAATCCCTTCTTGTTGGCCTACTCAGGCTATCCTCTCTCTTTAGTCCATCATGAATGCAAATCCCTTCTTGTTGGCCTACTCAGGCTATCCTCTTTCTTTAGTCCATCATGGATGCTGATGCTAGACTCATCCATTTTACCAACTGTTCAGTGTCCTCCACCCCTCTCTGGCTACCGATCACCCAACAAATACGTTTAAAATAATACCAACAACATACAAAACCTTCCACAACTCTGCCCATTCTACATCACCAACCTCATTTCAAAATATCATCCAAACTGTGCTCTTCACTTCTCCCACGACCTCCTGCTTGTAGGCAGGTGCAGCCTGCTTTCTCCACTGTAGGTGGTGCTCAGCAGTACTGCAGCTGGAGGGGAAGTCAAGAAAAAGTTTCTCTATGGTTCCTTTGGTCCTCTGGATCAGTATTCCAGTTGCCTTACCCTGCATCCAGGTGACCCTGGCAGCCATCTTGGGCCATGCAGAGTCTTTATAAGTCCCTTCTCCAGGGAATTGGCGTGATTTTGCAAAGTGGCTAGTGTAGAAAGAGCTTTCACGCTTGTCAGGGACAGCACTAGTGGTAGGGAGGGTTCCTGAGGAGCAAAAAAAGAGCAAGGCCTATGCCTATATCTTCTCAACCTCCCTCATGGGTTGAACTGGCCATGCCGCACTCCACCTTCCTTGGCAAGTGCTCTCTTCAGCTCGGGCCTACTACTGCTGATTCTCATTGAGCCAGGCTGTTGCATTGTTCTGCAAGACCTCTTCCTATGCTCTCCTCCAAGACTTCTCTAGAGCCTCTACCATCCTCTGGAGCTTCCTCAATCTATCTAGCTATCACCTACTCTGTCCACTCTTTAGGAGATCACTGAAAACTCATCTCCTCTTGGAAGTCTATCCTGCCTCTACCTAACACCTGAACGTTTAATTCCTTGATCATCTCATCCCCCTACAGTTATCACCATCTGTATCACTTGTGCTTCCTTTCAATTGTAAACTCCTAATCTTCTAGTATTGAATTATATTGTAAATGTAGAGTCTTCATTTACTTTGTAAAGCCCTGCAGACTGTTGGCACTATATATATAATAATAATATAATTGTGGAGATTACATTGGCGCAGGTATGGAGACAATGGTTCCCTAGATGCTCCTTCCCTGGAGTCCTGGGTCCTGCAGTGGATGAACCTCAGTTACCTCTGTAAACCTGAGATTTGTAAACAGCTCTAAAATATAATCATTATGTCATGTGTTTGTGAATATAAATCATTATGTCTGTGTGGGAATCCTATAATGAATTCAATGATGAAGGCCTTAAACAAAAAAAAAATGTCTTCCTGTTACATCCTAATTACGAACAACAAACAGCTCTTATATCATTTTCCCAAGTCAAGGGTAATATTTTGGTGACTAACAGTTTTTCAGTGTTAAGCTTGCCATGCACTGCTCAAAGTTTGCCTGATTCCTGCTGAATTGGCCAAAATTCAAGCTGCAGGTACAAACTTGAGCCATGGATGCAAATTAAAGCTGTGTGTGTTGAATTTGAGCTGTGTGTGGAAATTTGAGCTGTGGGTGGAAATTCGAGCTTTGGGTACTGAATATAGCAGCCATCAGCTGACTTTCCTCCATCCATACTGCATACCACTTGGTTGAGCAAAGTTCTGTCTCTAGGAAGGCGTTCTGTTGGGAATCAGCTAGGGTGCTTGCTATGGCCACATGCAAGGCAGCCTGCCAACAAGTGGGCTGAAGGAGAGAAATTCGAATCATGTATGACCAGCAAGAAAGAACACAAATACATAGAAAGGAT